CCCCGCGAGGCGCCGCGCGTGCGAGGACGTACCTGTCTCCTCCGCAGGCCGTCGTCCCCACGGAGGTGAAAATCCGCTTCATCGACATGCTGTCGGAGACGGGGCTGCCGGTCATCGAGGCCACCAGCTTCGTGTCCCCCAAGTGGGTTCCTCAGGTCGGTCTTTGCTGGGCGCGTCCCCAAAAGTCAGGCGTCAAAGGTCCCGCGAGGCGGTTCTGGATTGGGAGGGGCGACTCCAGCCGGCCGGGCGGGGAAAAGCTGGGTGCAGCGCCCGCCTCTCCCCCTCCAAGGAGAGCAGCCCTGGAAACGTCCTCATGAGTCCAGATCCGGTTGCCTGTGGAAGAGCTGGCTCGCCAGGACCCCGACTTTCTGGGTCTCGCGCGGGGCAGGCATCACGGGCTGCAAGAAACTCTTGCTTCAGGGATGATACCTCTTATTAGACCTGCTAGGAAATTGCAAAAATAGTCTCTTTCTGCAAGCTTTCAGAGCCCTTCGTCAGGCTCTGGGGATATTAAAGATAGTGAAAAGTCCCCGTAGGTAAGAAATAAACTTCCTTTTTTGCACAGAGGGAGCTGGAGATGGAAAATCTGTCCCTCTGGGGCCATGAGAGTGGTTCTGAGTCGTGCAGGTCAGGTAGGGTCCCTTCCCTGGAGGTGTCCACTGGCAAACAGGGAGCTTTAAAAATCTTTCTTGTTGTTCTGCAGTGATGTTTAAAATCCAAACTCAGCAAAAATTCAGCATCTTCCATGTTTGGGATGTATTTGGTGTTTGAGACAAAAAGAAATGCAAAAATCTAGAACTCTTGGTTTAGAAATTAGACCTTTTATTAGACCAGTTACGAAATTGCAAAAAAAATTATGGGCTGCAAGCTCTCTCTCTTTCATCTCCTGGAAAAGTGACCACTTCTAAAGTCTCTCTCCTGGTGCTGCGCAGATGGCAGACCATGCAGAAGTCCTGAAAGGAATTGAGAAGTTTCCTGGCGTGAGCTACCCAGTCCTGATCCCAAACCTGAAAGGCTTCCAGGCAGCGGTAAGGGGGTTTGTGCTGGGCTCCAAGTGCTCTAGTGTGTGCTGTGTCTGCCAAATGTGCAGAAGGTGGAGATGTGCCTCACTGCAGAAGCCAGGTACCTGCTGGAGACGCTGTCACCTGCCACTTCCAATGCAGAATTTGGTGGGGTTTTATTTTCAAGTCTGTTCACCTGCTCTGGCATGTCTGCCTAGACAAGTCTCCTGTAACAACCACATTTCTGTTCCTGGTTCACGCAGCAGAGGTGGCTTAGGTGCTGCCGTCACTCCCCGGGCAGGCTTGGCTGTCTCGCACCAAAGCCTTAGCTCAGCTCATCCCACAAGAGAAGCAGAGACACTGGGCTGTTGAAGAGAGCGCTCCCCTATAGAGTCCAGCAGCATTAGGAATAGCCTTGCTCTGCATTCCCGTTGCAGACCAGGTCAATTATACACACTCTCTGCAAAATACCTTGAGGGGGAAAAGGGAAAATTGTTCATCTCCAGTAGCAAATTCTGGGAGATTGTAACTGTAACTGTCAGCAGAGTAAGCGTTTTGTGCCCGTAATGTTCTGTAACCGCATCTCAGGATTAAATAGCTCCATCGATTCCATGGGTATCTGTCAAGGATATAGGACTTAACAACTGCCCAGATTCTCATTCCACTGATGTTCCAGCTGATTTGCTGCCTCAAATCTTGCCAGTCAGCAGGCACAATAGTAGTGCATCAGCTGCAACTTGTGAGTTGAGACTCCACAGTGCATCTTACACAGGGGCATTGACTGGTCCAGTACAGCTATCTCATGTGTTTAACTGCTTTGTATTGAAACAGTGGGAGCTAGGGGCCTCCAGTGTGTTTGAAGCCAATGTAATTGGAAGCTGCAGGTGCTGAGACCCTTACAGGATTGAGCCTTTACTAGATGTTTTGTTAGCAACAGAAATAAGTCCTTAAATGCTTCTCTTATTTGGACCCTATGGACGTGCCCTCAGCCCTGGTAACTTGAGCTCACAGGGCCTTTATGGCAGTTGCATAAATCAGATGCAAAATAACATACTGGTCCAATCTCCCTGTCGGCAGGTCACAGCAGGCGCCAGAGAGGTGTCCATCTTTGGAGCAGCATCGGAGCTGTTCAGTAAGAAGAACATTAACTGTTCAATAGATGAGAGTCTCCAGAGGTTCAGTGAAGTGATGGAGGCAGCAAGAGCGGCAAACATTCCAGTGCGAGGGTGAGGCACTGCTGGTTTGAGCACCGGGCAAACTAGTTTGTAGTGGTGATGTCAAGTAAAATTGCTGGGGCTGGAGGAGTGCCAGGTCAGTACGAAAACCAGGGCCTTTCTGGCCCCTCCCTGAAACCAGTGCAGCCTGTGACCCTCACTTCGGTCTCCAGTTCCCAGTAACAGAGGACTGGGATTTAGGCTGTTCACTCTGCTTCCCATCCTCACAAGCAAGCCGTGAAACGATTCAGTGCTGCTAGCATGAGTTTGGAAACAGAAGCATCCCAGTCCCTCCTCACTAGACAAATGCAGTTCTCTTATCACCATCAGCTCCCCTACAGCAACCGCAGCATTCAGATGTCCCTTGTTAGAAGTCGTGTCCCAGTAGAGAGCACAGTTGGTCCCTTGAATGCTCTTTTCCCAGCGCTTTTGGAGGGGTAGGGGGTGAGCGAATCAGTCTTCAACTCGGAGGAAAGCAAAATTTACCACCTTAAGAAAACCACAGCTTGAATTGTATTTTGAGCTCTATCAGAGGAGTGCTTCATGTCAGTCCTGGAGGCACAAATGTGTGTTTTGTGTTGTGTGATGCACTCTTAAACACCTGTCAGCTACCCTGACACTCCCTTCCCTTCCCCCCAAGTCCCTGGGGTGTGACTAATTATACTGGGGAAATCATTATGGCAGCTCTGTGCCTTTATCTACCTACTTCAAACCATCAGCTTCTAGAAGAGTTGAAATTTCCCATGATGTAAGAATGCGGGGTGGTGCTTATTGGGGCTGAATGAGCCCATCTTTATTTCCCTGGTTCTCCTGCTGATGTTGGTCTTTTGCTGCAGATACGTGTCTTGTGTTCTTGGCTGCCCTTATGAAGGCAAGATTGCCCCTGCTAAAGTAGCAGAGGTGAGTACAACTGCAGAATCCTGGAGCTTTTCTAATCCCCTGTAATGTTAAGAGCAGAAGTAGGTGCTGTGCCCTGCTGAAGATAGAATGGGGGCCCTAATTGCTTGTGGAGATGCACCCGTGGAATCAATGAATGCATCCCCCCCACCCTGCCAAGTATGAAGGGCTTTCTGGCCAGTTGCCACCTCACTGAGAAGTGAATGTGAATCTGCCTGGGGTAGCAATGGAGCAGAGTGCTCTGAGGGGTGTGATAGGAGGTGGTGTTCTTCACTTCCTGCTCGCAGCTCTGTGCACCTGATATCCATGAGCAGTCTAATGCTTGCTCTGTTCCACCACAGAGCTAGCTGCACTTCAGAGCCAGGCACAGTGATGATAGGTATCCATGCACGAGGTGCTACGGGACCTTAGTGGCAAGCCAGTTCTTCTCACTGAGGTGTCATTTCCTTGGGCAGGTGGCGAAGAAGATGTACGCGATGGGGTGCTACGAGATTTCCCTTGGTGACACCATTGGGGTCGGGACCCCTGGGAGCATGAAGGAGATGCTGGCTGCAGTCATGAAGGAGGTGCCTTTGGGGGCTCTTGCTGTTCACTGCCATGACACCTACGGGCAGGCTCTGGCCAACACCTTAGTTGCCCTTCAGGTAAGAGCATTGGTTTGCTCTGATGAACTGGACCCTACTTGGAGCTTTTTTTCCCTTTGTGTGCTGAGGACAGCCCTTCCTGACAGGGTCACTGTCCCATGCTGACCTGGCCACTTGGCTCGAGCAGGCTACAAACCACACAGAACCTTTCCCCTCTGAACAGTGTGTGGAATGCACCGATGGAGGGGCAGGAGGGGAGCCTTCCAGAACAGCGTGACCTTGGTTATGTCCTAGAGCTGCAGCGTGGCTGCCCTTGGGTGCTGTGGGCTCAGGCCAAACATAAGGAACTTCCCAGTATGGAGCAAGTGCAGGATGGGCAGCAGCTCCCTCTTGGCCTGAGCAGCTGATGCTGGGTGTTTACACAGCACCTTGCTAGTGACAGGACCTGTGAAGCCTGCTCCGATGTGGCGATAAGAGATGGGAGCTGAATTCAAGAGTCCATACTCCTTTGACTCACTCCTGGGCTCCGCGCCTATCTCTGTGCTGTTACTGCCTGTATTGGGGCAAACCAGCATAAGTGTGGGGGTTGTGAGCGGTGGGCATAGAGGTCCCTGCGAGCTTTGGTTTGGTTCTTGTACATCAGCACTTGGGACTTCTGGCCTGGAGTTTCAGACTAGCAGACTGTGTGAGGCATGGTGTGGGCAGCACTGATTTGGGTCAGCGCTGTTCAGTTATAGATCCCTTAGCAAGCAGTTGCATTTAGTACAGCCTATCTTTTGCTTTGGGATTGCCAAGTGCTATGGAAAAGGAAGACCTATACCTCTTGCATAGGCAGTGTGTTAATAGGGAGGTTGTCCCATGCCTTGTCTCCAGGCTAGAGCGCTCAGGGCTTGGCCGGATCCTTGCTCGGACCTGCTGTCCAGGAGGGCCAGAGCTGAAAGCAGTTGTTTGTGTGTGTTTCCAGATGGGCGTGAGCGTGGTCGACTCCTCGGTCTCTGGTCTGGGAGGCTGCCCCTATGCACAAGGAGCCTCAGGAAACGTAGCCACAGAGGACCTGGTGTACATGCTTGATGGGCTTGGCATTCACACGGTGAGTCTGGCCAGCTGGAGGTTGCTGCCCTGGGGTGGATGTGTGCCTGCATTTCCAGCCGGAGCTTGAATGCCTGGTTTTAAAAGCTCAGCCTGCCACACCTCAAACCAGTAGGTGTGGCTGCCACGTGGACAGTGAGGCTCTGTCTAGCTGAAAGAGCCCTTGTTCTCTGTCCTGGCAAGGACGAGGGAGCGGATTGGAAGCAATGAATTTGGATCCCAAGGCTGCAGTTAAAATGAATAGTCATAAAACTCAGCCGGGCTGGGGAAGGAATAGATCCCAGCCTTCTGGCCGGGTAATGGAGGGCATAGAGAATGGGCAAGTCTGGCTGGTGCCCTCAGGATTTCTTCTCATCCCTTTCCTGTGTCTGAGGTTGTCCACCTTCCTCCCTCCCCTCTCCTCCTCCCAGCCCCTCATACTGATGCTTAGTTTGAAATGCTGCTGTCACAGCTGCACCAGGGAGCAGTGGATGTTAAGAGCATCACCAGAACAGTGTCCTCTTCCTCCAGTTGTCTCCTAGGCTGTAAAAATTAACAGCAGGTGACAGTCATTTGGATGAAACTGGGGGCAGGTGCAAGCTAATCCTGTGTCTTGTAAAGGGTGTGGATCTGCAGAAGCTGATGGACGTGGGTGCGTTTATTTGCAAAGCGCTGAACAGAAGATCGAATTCCAAAGTGGCCCAGGCCGCCTGCCGCCTGTGACGTCTGTCAGCTCAGCCTGGGACAAGTCCATGCAGCCCACGGCCATGAAGACCTAGAGTCAGCCAAGTTGCATTTGCTCTCTGGGTTGCTCTTAAATACCCCTTTTTCAGGCTCAGGACTGGGTAGAGGGAAGGTCATGCAGCAGAATCCACAAGTGCCATTAACAGCCCTAGACAGGCTCCCTAAACTGCCCCCTTGTGCAGGGGAGGCTGAGGCCATGAACACACAGCAGCTTCCTTCCCCACCCCCCAGGCCCTCGCCCCATGTCTGCTCAGGGGACTCTGCCGGGAGGGGTGCTACCAGGCAAGTATCGGCACATCGAGTTGGAGCCTCCCCTGGGCCAGCCGGGCTGCCCCCGGGGGTGCGACAGGCTCCTCTTCTCCCACCGGGAGCAAAGACTCGTGCCGGAGACGCAAGGAAGTGCCTTTCCTGGGACCGAGCTGAAGGCTGAGCTCCCGCTCTGGGTCTTCGCTCCTGGTCTTCTTGCGTCCTCTCTAGTGTAGAAAACCGCTCGTGTCCTGGAGTGTTCTTGACCAGGGAAAATGCATTGAAATCGGACCGAAGCCGCTTGGTGAAGGAGGGAACGGCTCCGGCTGTGCTCCTCCTGTAACGAATTTCAGACAAATAAAGGTTATTCAGAAGCGCCTGGGCCTGGTGCTGTGGTCTCGCCCCTCAGGTGGGGGGCAGGGGAGGCCTGGGCCCAGGGCTGAGGGGAGCCTGTGCCCCCAGGGCTGCCCCGGCTTCGCTCCCTCCCCGTGGCCCTGTCCCCTGGGCGGGGGGCGCGTGCTCACCCCGCAATTGCTGCCCCCCTCCCCCTCCCCCCACGGCCGTCGC